GGGGAAGAACGGCGTGTGGGGGGGGGGAAGATCGAGAGTCGGGGAGGGGAGGTTGCGTGGGAGCGGGATCGGAGTCACGACAACGAAGAAGAAGAAGAAGAAGAAGAAGAAGATAAGAAGAAGAAGATAAGAAGAAGAAGAAGATAAGAAGAAGAAGAGAACGAAGAGAAAGAAGAAGAAGAAAAGAATAAAAATAAAAAATAAAAAGAAAATTGTCGTCGATTACTTATCTGCGCGGAGGTAGCAACGACGATGACGAGGATGGAACGGCACGGCGATGAGGACGACGGGCATGGTGATGGCGACGTGGCACGACGACGTCGATCTTGACGGTGACAATGATGACGTGGCACGACAACGACGATCGCGACGATGCCGATGATGACGTGGCACGACGGCGACGATCACGACGATGACGTGGCACTACGACGACGATCACGACGATGATGCTGATGATGGCCAGGTGGTGACGACGAAGCAGGGTGGGTCGGGCGGGTTCGAACCGCTCTGACACCAGTGTGACGAGCGCGAGGCTGAGGGAGAGCCAAGGGAGAGGAGAGAGAGAGGGAGAGAGTGAGAGCACACACACACACTCACTCACTCGACACGACTGAGGGTCGGACGCAGACACAGTGGCAAGGCACAAAGTCGAAGTCTTGGATTCCGCATGCCAAAACAGCGAGTCACCCGAGTACGAGTATAGCAGCAGAAAACTGGTACAAGACTGGTCCCCGTACTGTATGGGGAGCCGGACGGTACCAGGGGCGTTTCCGCAAAAGCCCGAGGGCAGAACTGAAAAATGCGGTATTTGAAAGTGGCACCCGAATTGCAGCATGGCACCAGTTGTCCAAAATCCGACGGTACCAAAGGAGGGGTTCGAAAAAAAAAAGGGTGCCAGGCCGAAAACGGGATGCAGCAGAAAATGCAAAAAGATGGACCAGGGATCGAGCCCTGGCGGAGTCCGTAACACGTAACTTCCTCCTCGCTGGCCTTAATCATGTCAGCGTCCATTACCAGCGGAAGCAGCAAGTTACCAGCTCTGATACCAATTGCTTTGAGCCTCACTTCTCGACACCATGAGCTCGCACACACACATTGAGAGATCACACGAAATCCACACTGAAGTCCAGAGATGTAAAGTCCAGATGTGCTCATCTTAGAAAACCCAGCAAATTATCAGATTAAACAGTTTTGGAGATCCAGTCACCAAGCGCTCAACAGCGCAGAATACAGCAACCCAATACCAGCATCCTCATCAAAGGTTGGTGACTCTCTTCTTCTCTCTCCCTCTCTGCCTTCCTCTCTCTCTCTCTCACTCTCTCTGTCTTCTCTCTGTCCCTTCTGGTCTTCCTCATGCATGCTCTCTCTCCCTCTCTCGCTCTATACTTGAGAATCTTGACTCCGAATACATCCGCTGCCACTCAGCACTACCTCCTATCACTAGCTATGCGGCTATGACCGCCTTCCCTCTCAGTGCAGCGCTGCCCAGCAGGGCTCTCGCGCTCATGCTACTCACAGATAGCGCACAAGTGCTTCAGCAGCATTTCAAGACTTCTCACGAATGAGCTATCTCCTTGAAATGTGGCTGGCTAGTCCTTATATCGACTTGGACTGAGCTTCAACTCGTCCCAGCCCCTGGTTCTTGTGGCTTGACTTGGTACTGGTACCACATGCCCACTGCCTGCTTGCTTCAGAATGTCAAGGCCGGGTACTTTTCCCAAATTTCCACTGGTGTGCTGCTGCTTGGGCCTGTGAGGCACGACTTTTGACCTGTGGAACATGAATTTTGACTGTGGATTAACATGGCCCCTGCGCATTAAAAGAAAAAAAAAAAAGGAAGAGGAGAACATAGAGACCAGAAAGAGAACCATTCCCCCACTGACTCTGGACACCAAGGACGTGGGACTGCTATTACACTACTCCACCCATTCTCCAGGCTTTCATTTCAGAACAACAGTTCAAGGACTTCCTCGTACAAGATGGTGTCTGGATCTGACCTAAGTCAGTACCTTCATTGCTGACATGTCCGCACTCTGTGTTGTGTGTGTTGTCATTTCACTATACAGAACTCCACAAAGATAAGCATGACTGTGCCAGACTGTTTTGTCAGACTTTCACTGACTCATCAAGAGGTTGAACCCTGACAGTCTGTCGAGGATGCGTTTGACTGATGGATAAGGACTCACCATTAAAGTGGTAGACTTTACTCACACCAACTGTGTGTGTGTGTGTGTGTGTGTGTGTGTGTGTGTGTGTGAATTATGAATGAATCAGATCGTACCTACTGTTTACCGAAATGTGAAAGGGAAGGAGACTTCCACAAATCAGTACTCGGTTACAGAATACTTCACTCGTGCCAAGAAGGACTCTACAATCCCGGGTATGTACACCTTTGTCATTTTGTTTACTGGTTATTGTTTCTTAAAATCATGTGGCCTTGGGCTGAGCCCCCAACTTGCACACTAGCAAGAGGCTCCCCTCACTTCTTCCCGTCATGCAGGCACACAACCTCAGAGGACAAGGATATGCATATTGGCTCATCTATTCCAAAGTCCCAGTATGTGTGTGTAAGTTTTATGATTTTTCAAGATCTTGCAGTAGTTGGCAATTGCCCATTTGTTGCTCATGAGTCTCATTGGCATGAACACCCCTTGTGCCAATCCATGGCAGAACATCAAAGGGGATGGTTTCATCAGTCCCAAAACTGAGTCGCAAAAGACTCGCAATGTTAATCTTTTTCTTTTTCTCTCCGGTTTTCTTTCCAGTTTTCCTTTTACTCTGCTGGTTTCGAGTTTGTGTTTCACAGTCGATTCATGTTGCTGTTGTGTTTGTTCACATCACTGATGTTGCTCTCTGGCAATGAGATCCTTGGTTGTAGAGCGAGTTGCTGCTTTCTGCACCCGCCTTTCAATTGTCACGATACGTACTATCCCTTGTCCCCATTTCCTTGTTTCCTTACAAGGGAACTTCAGAAACTTCCCCCCTTGCACCCCTTTCCTTGTTTCCTTCAAAGGGAACAGAAAATTTCAAAAAAAAAGTAAAGGGAGTAAAGAAGTAAACACATTTGGTTCCGAAAGAAAAATGAGGGCGGTCAAGAAAGGAACACATTTGGTTTTCCCTATGTGACACATCATTGAGCTTCACTGCGAGTGAGATGTGAGTACTGTCCTCTGGTAAAATTCAATGAATCCTGTTGCTTCAGGGTAAGAGTTCCTGCCCTCTTAGAAATGTGGCGCATCCATGGGGAAGGTCCCAGGCAGTCTCCTGTACACTGCCCATCGAATATCCACAATAGATGCCAATTTGTTTCATAGCAGGTTGGGAGGGGGTGGATGGGGGCTTCCTCGTGGCCAATCAGAGTCTCTGCAATTTCATCACATTGTAACAATTGCTATACCACGGCCTGTGACCAACTGACGATCACGGCACCTCTTTTCATTGTTGCCTGATGGTTCATTGTTGCCTGATAGTTTTGCATGTTATCGGCACGCAATCTGAACTGTCTCTGGAGTAGCAAGGGATGGTCCAGAATCCAGATTGTGTGTTGATTGTTCTTTCTAGATGCCAACAGAATTTTTCTAGGTCACCGTACCAAGCACCTACTCAAGCTGCCTCACGAGCTGCCAGCACATCTCTTTAGCAGCTACAGCAGTAATTTGCCATAGTTCCTGTCCATAAAACATCGCACAACATGGCAATCTGCTGCAAATGCTGGTACACATACAAATTATCACAGCATCTTGATAGTCCTACCTACAATCAAGCACCTGAATCTGTGGCCAGCATCCTCGAACGCCATGCACTTTTCAATCAACATTGGGATTATTGACATGCTAACACCCTGAGCAAGATGGGTCATGTCTTTTCCTTGGGGCTAGAATCCTGGTTCGGCCAGACAGCTCACTTCACATCAGTGTGTTTGATAAGGCTGAGGCCTGGACATTCTGTGTCATACGTTATCCCAATGCTTCCTCCTATGCCCCAGCTCATTAGTCTGTGGGCATGCTCAGAGGACAGCTAACGAGGTTCGAACATATCTGTAACAATACATCTGACTTCAAAGCTGCAGTGACTTCGCTGACGCGGCGTATGCTTGTTAGGGGCCATCCTCCCAGTGCCCTGGCCAGAGGCTGGACTGCGTATGTGTGTGCTCGGCAGCGCCAGCGACCCGCGCACGTCACACGGCTCTCAAACTGGTTTTGCCGCATGGTGCACTGGGCAACTGCTCACCCACTTCTGCATGTGAATTCTGCGCACAGGTCCTCCACACAACCACCACATGCAATAGGCCACCACCTACTCCCTAACGCCAATTCTGACCACAGGCATCATCAGCACTCCACACAAGCAAATGCAGCGGGCCCGCCTTCTCCTGTTATCCCTACACTATTAAAATCACTAAGGGAACCAATCTGTGATCCAGGCCGTCGGCATTCTCACTGGCCCGCGGCCTGGATCGTCGGGAACATGTAATAAATCTGAAATGCGGGCCGTTGGGTCCTACCGGATCGACGGCTGGGATCGGCACGCGGTCTTAAGATTTTAAGATCGCGCGCCAATCCAGGCCGTTGGCGCGGTACATCGGTCCCGACGGCCCAGATCAGATGGCTAGCCGCGTCCTCCTCCGCCCTTCTCTCCGCTCATTCTGCGCGCGCTCCACTCCCCCTAGAGAGAGAGAGAGACAGAGAGAGAGAGAGAGCCCATTCTAACTACGCGCCCCTGATCCATGGTCCATCAAGACCTTTCTTTCAAAAGAAAAAAAAGAGAAAATTGCATGCCCGTGCTGGAGAGAGAGAGAGAGAGAGAGAGAGAGAGAGAGAGAGAGAGAGAGAGAGAGAGAGAGAGAGAGAGAGAGAGAGCAATCTAACTAACAATGCGCCCCGCTCCCCCCCGCCCCTTCCCCTTCAACGATCACATGTGGTATATATAATCCATACTTGCGGCGCATTTGTGTGGTGCGCGATGCGGTGCGCTGCGCCATGCGGACTGCGCGCCGTGACACTGCGCGCGCACGAGGTGCGCCGTGCGTGCAGCGCGTGGGGACGCGCTACCCCTGCGAGGTGCGCACTGTGCGCCATGCCTCTTTTTTTTCTTTTTTCTTTTTTTGAGCCATGCCTCTTTTCGGCGTGTGTGTGTGTGTGTGTGTGTGTGTGTGTGTGT